ACATCAGCATAAAAAATTGTAATACACTGCGGCACCTGATAATATGCTTCTTCCCGGTGTTTTTCAGCGGAGGCACGCCCGCAGTTGCACGCCGATCGCTGCCTCGCCGTATCGATTGGCCCTCTCTTCCACTTTTTCGATATTATTACGCGATCTCTTCGCTTTTTCCCTCTCCCGATCCGCTCTCGTCATATCTGCGCTCGCTCAGATATTACGTGGCTACCGCGTGCGCGCGAGCTCTGAGCTTTTACCTAAATTGAATTTTTTTCTTCTTCTTCTTCTTCTTCTTCTTCTCAAAAAATGCCAATGACCAATTCCGTCAATAAATGAACGCACGCGCCACGATCGGACGAGAATTTCACGTGCCAGTATTTTTCTCCTTTTCCTTTTTCAAAGCTGACGTGTGAACGAATAGTTTCCAATCGATATTTCACAAAAGGCGATCTATGAATATTTTTTGGTAGATATTCTTTACGTTGTTGCTATTCCAAAAATAAAGCCATTTATTTATATGTTCCGAAGCTATAATTAATGCATTTTTTAATTTCACCATTTGGAAACTAATATTTATTTATTCAGTCTTGAATACCCTTAGTTTCTGAAAAGAAAAAAAGAAACCTCATCTCGCGCATGTATTGCCCCAGTGAGGGTAAGAACAACGAAGCATCCAGTGTGTGAGGAGTAGTAATGGAAGAATTCAGTCTATAGAACTATAGTTCTATAGTTCGTGTGGCGGCGATTGAATTGGGCCGGAAACAGAAGGCCAGAGTCTGTCGTTCTTCCCTTTTCCTCGAATTAGACGAAGGATGGCTGATTTGCTTGCCAGCAGCAGCTTCTTCTCATTCAAAATACGGGTCGTGAACGTGTTCGGAGAGCGAGATAGTCTACTTCCGCATCGGCATCCGTTGGCGCGCCTTTATGAAATATCCGGACGACGCGTCCGCTTGAAATTAGGAGAGAGGGGGTAGACGATGCATCCTCTCGACTGAATATACAGATGCTGATGACGGGGGACTTACTTTAGGCACGCGAGGGCATATTTTTGCTTGGAATATCGTGTGCGAAAGCGTCGCGCATGAGTAAATCACCATAAAGGAGATGCGCGAAGAAAAAAACACTTGTGATTCCAAATTCCGCGCAGACTTGCAACCGCCGTTGTGAGACATGGGTGACATGGCGATGCATCCTGTGATTACATTTTTTATGGCATGTGATAATCATATTAATATCATCACGGTAACAACAAAAATAACATATATATGACAATAATGTTTCGAGTACGTGATAAATTTAATTTACTGATAAAAATATACTGAATAATGGATGCCTAAGAATCGTCTTGCAATGAGGATTAATAGTTTCGATGGAATTTCGAGTTAAAGCAAACTTGTATTTGCAGGGCGGTTGAATTTATAGATCCGAGGTCAGTAGTTTATTCAATTATTAATTATCAATTATTTTATCGAATGATCACAAAATTCTATTTAAATATTCTGAATTGAATATTTTAATTAAGAGCTAACCACTACGATAGGTATTGTCCTCGAAAAAAGAATAAAGCCACAATTAAAATCAGTGCGCTGTTCCGAAGATAACTCGATTAAGTGTAAATAACTCACTTTTTTCCAAATACATGTTATAGTAAGCTCTCATACTGATTCGATAATATCGACGGCTTTAGCATTGATCTATCGCGAATCTAATTTAACTATTTCTTAATGCTTGGATTTAAAAAATTACAGAGAATTTTTAACGAAAACATAACGCCTTATGCGTGATCCGTACGTTTTAGTACTCGACGTAGAATTTGAAAAGAAAGTTAATATCATTTGAAACGGTTTCTTAACAATATCTGACGAGGTTTCGTCTCGAGCGAAATCTATTTCGCAAGCCCACAACTACGTCGCGTGGTGTAAAATCGACGTAGGCTCGTACGTACCGACCACTGCAATTTGAATATCTCCGTTTGAGATACAAATTTTGTATATTTTCTCCCGCCACCGGAAGGTGAGTTACGCGAAAATGTACACGCGGAAGTCCGATTCCTTTTTAACTAGTCGCCGCTGTGCGCGTGCATATGCATCGTGCGACTATACTATGTATTATTCATAAGGAAAGCGCTTTCCTCGCACGCTGCAACGCGACGAGCATTATTTTTAGGTGTTACTCCACTTCCTGAATGCATTTGAAAGCTCGGCATCTCACGAAGCACATATTTTTCTGAAATACTGTCAGAACTTTATACGTCGACTACGGTTCCACTTGGATACCAATAAAAGGCACATACGCAGACAGTAGCTAGCTCGTGGTGTACATGTACGCAAGACTGACGCTTGTAGCGGTAAATGTCGTGCAGCAGTGCAAATTTATTTTCACGACGAATCGATCTTCGCGGGCAGACGGATTAGCTTGAGCGTGACAGGTATACGTAGGTGACGTATGGCGAACGCACGATCGTATTTCAATCAATGCTTGATCACGCTAAAGAAGAAGAACGAGAATATTCGAAAAGAGAGTAAAGGCTTCCGAGCAAGCTCGAGCGGCTCGAGAAAAAAAAAATAATCCCGACGTAGTTGCTTTCCCGCGAGTATCGTTTTGCAGCTGCCTACGTACTGCAATATCAACGCGCGATCGATTCGCTTGTCGCAAGTCATCGGCTAGAGTTTCTTGCGAGAATCTGCAAGCGCGTAAGTTTTCCAGAAGGTACGATCGATGAATAGTAAAGAGCGAAGCAAGCTTCTGCAATGTTTTGCGTCGGCAATCGATTGGCGCGTGAAGGGGAAAATTTTGTTTGTTGCTTGATGTAACGCCAGCTAAGTAATTTACGAGAATGGAAAATATGAAAGTTTAGAAAATTTTAAATGGTTTTGTTCACGTTCAGAGTTTTATTTCGAGTTTAGCCGTCTAAACTTGGAACAAAAAGAAACATTAATGTAAGAAAATTTAAGGTTCAAACATTCGTTACTGAACGAGAAAAAAAAAGTCTCTGTACGCGATTCTTATTTACAAATAAATTTTTGGCTTTCTATAGAAGAAAAACTTTATTTTTATTAAAGCTGGAGCATTAATCACACTATAAATCGCAATAACTCATTGCGCTTTTTTCTCGATATTCTCTTCGGACGTTCTCCTCTATCTGCTGGAATATCGGCAATTTCGTATTCAAAAATATCGATAGAGAGGTAAAAAAAATCAGAAACCACATATTACGTGCTCTCGAGCATTTGTCACTGAATCTATCAGATATAATATTTCACAGGCATGAACCGACAGCTTTCTACAGTGTGATTTTCGGCCTGTGTGTATGAAAGTATGCTATATAGCTATATCTATTGAAGGGGGAGGTTATTGACGTTAAACAGCCGACGGTCCTAGCGCGGATAATCCCACGGCGGATTTCCGCGGAATATGAAATCCTCGCGGGACGCTGGCTGCTGCTGGTGGTGGCCCGTGTGAATAAGTCGTGCGCGCGCGATCCTTTGGCGGCTACGTGACATAAAAGGCGCGCGCACGTTAGCCTTGATGACGCCGCAAACTCTCGAGCATCCTGTGCAACTTTGGATTTTTTTTCTTTTTCTTTGATCTCGCGATATTATACTTTCGGGGGAAAAATACTTTCTATGCTTGTATTTCTTTGCGAAAAATGCTTTTTCGTTTCTTTCTAGGAGAATTATTGTGCTTATTTCGGATGATTTTAGTGTGTGTGTGAATGACGACTATTGATGTTTTTTTATGCTTACGGTATTCAATGTCTTTATTTATAAAAGTAGAGCACTTTATCGTAAGTGTATCGTCAAATATGATTTTGCTAAAATCTCTTTCGAGAAATATTCTTCTTTGCTATTACTTTTTTCGGTGAAATTTTACCCAGTCGAGTTTTTTGACATCAATATCGTCGGCTTATATCTGACCATAAACGACTTATACTACTACGCATGAAACCGATATGCCAATTTTTTTTTTATAGGCGCAACATCGATGCGTACTTAAAAATATTTTTTGAATTTTCATTATATACTTTGTTTTCAAAATACTGCTATCAAAAAAATTTTTTAATAATTGTCACTGTCGGTATTTACTAATTGCATTTTCGTTACAAAATTTTCCAAAAGTAACGACATTACGAATATATATTTTTTCTGTTATTCGTTACTTTTATATTTCATTAAAGACAAAAATCATTTTTTAATATCGTTATAATTAACCAAACAAACAAATTAGAATTGCTTATAACTAATCAGTAGAATCCGCTGTTAATTGATAATTATTTATTTTTGAATTTTCTACGTGAAAGAAAAAAATCAATGATAATTGTCAAGAAGGCCAATGTACGAGAATAATGTCATGTCGAACCACGTCGAGTCCAAACGTTAATTTTCGTGCTGAACCTCCCTGCAAGCATTCAGCAGAGCAGTAATAAATTATTCGTCGGCGACACGCACACGCACGTGCTCGCGCTCACACACACAGACCTACAGAGACTATACTACAGAGTAGTAGAGACCATAGATCGTATAAGCGGTAGCAAGACGCTGATGACGCGTCTCGGATGTTTTGTCAGCGGACAGTGACACATTGCCTTCTAGCCGAGAGAGATGATAATGTAACTGCGACGGGATTTGATGGGCTTTGCCAGATAGACGTGCTCGCGCGATGCGGTGCTCGCAGATTGATTACGTATAATAAAACTTCCGCGGATAAGTTGATCGACGAAGCTTCGTGCCCTCTACAAAGATTACCGCGAGCCGCCGTATTTTTCGTTGCGAACATACGTTCACGGGAGTTCACATTTACACTGATCTATGTACGTTTGCACGATTGACGCGACTGACAGATGAGCAGCACTTTTTTTTAATAATGGAGTTCTATTTCCATTGTACGAGTTTTACTTTTAAAAGAACATCTGCTTTTCATTTCTTTGCCCAACTTTCTATAAAAAAAGTGTACTCTAAAGCAGACAAGACGTGCATTAACGGTTTTTCTTTTCTCTTTCGTTGCAGACTGATTACAACAGGCACCTCGAGCAACTAGTCGAGAAAACAGAAAACTTGCTGACTCAATTTTTAAAGACGAAAGTACGGAAGGAAAACATCAACCAGATAGAGAAATTCCAAGCTTTAATTGAAAGAGTACGCGAGCTTTCTCACGGTAAATACATAATTTTTCCTGCCATCTTTAGCGCACCGAAAGAAAAACAAATAAATTAATGGTTACGTTGAAATTTACAGCTGAGTGCGAGTCGATAACCATGGCGATTGCGACGGAACTTTTCCTTGAAAAACTTGAATGCCTGTCGGCGTTATTGAAGGAGATGAAGATTTTCAAAAGTTCCATGCGCGTTGAACTCACGACTATCGAATCCGATGTGCAGAAACTTAAGGACCGCGTTGAGATGGAAAAATGTTTGAACGCCGGTGGCAAATTCGAATGGGTCGATAGTATTCTCGTCAAGGTAAAGTATATACAAGTCTTTAATATGGAGAGTTTTCGTTTTCCTATCGGTTCATACTTATTTTATCAAAAGATAATTCGCACCATGCCACCAAAACGACGCGACTTGAAATTCCAATTTAACTTCGGCCGATAAATATTTACTTCTACATCCAAGCTAATACGACGTTTCTAATTTTCAAATGTAGTGTCTTCGAGAAGGAACGTGGCTGCTAGTAGATCAAGTAAATCTATGCAGTCCTGCTGTACTCGACAGACTCAATGGTTTGCTAGAACCCAACGGAGTATTGAGTATTGGCGAGCGTGGTGTCGATAGCGATGGCAACGTCGTGACCATCAGACCACACGAAAATTTCCGACTTTTCTTGACTATGGATCCAAAATACGGCGAGATATCCAGGTAATTAAAATTCGAAACGTAATATAATTTTTTCAAGTGAAATTGCAATGTTAATCAAATATTTGTCCGACAAGTATTTAGTTTTTTAAATTGGATTATCACAATAAATATTGGATGATTACATTTGCTCTTATTTTTCAGAGCAATGAGAAATCGAGGTATCGAAATATTCATGCTAAATTACAACGAGAATCTTAATTCCGGCAAATTAGACTTCCGATCATTGTTGCACAATGTCGGTATGACGAAACGCAACCACCAGGAAGCTTTGATGGCCGTGCACAAACGCATGACCGAAGATCCAACGAATACAGACAACTTGAACGTCATCCAACTTCTGCATAGCTCATTTCTAGTCGTTCAACAATTGTCGCGTGGTTTCTCGGCGTTTCAGGCATTCATGAGCTCCTGCAAAGACGTGTATCTTCGAGCCCGATCGATCTTCCACGGCGAGACGCGAAACAAACTTACTGCCATCGTCGAGGACACCATTCGGGAGTACGAAGTCAACGAGGGCGATGACTACGTGTTTGACCTTGACGCAGCCACGTGCAGCTTGAAGAATCTTCAAGACAACTCGAAATTAACTTTGCTCAGGCAGCAGGGATTACTTTTAGATTGGTGTGCCAATGGATATGCCTGGGCATTGAATCACCCTGAACTAGCAGAATTCCCAGCCAAGACGGTCTTCCTCAATCAATTCTTTGCTTCGCTGTTCGGTGATGAACCAGCTTACAGCACCGAGGTTTTACACATTCTTCCTTACGTGCTGCTTAACTTTTACGAGCATTCGACCCCAAGCGATGCCGTACTTCGCGCTGCCTGGGCTCACAATATTTTCAAGCAATGTGATAAATTTGCTGTTTTAAATAACAGAAATAAAGTGCTGGCTAATCAGATTCAATCTTTTGGCTTTGGTAATTACGATCACAGCTTACCCTGGGACAGAAAAAATTTTGCGCATGCTAATAATTTGGCGTTAAGCTTGTTTTTCGACGCTTTGATCGTCGATGAGGAGCTGGATACTGATTGGATAATGGGTAGCAATGAAAAGATTATTAGAATTGGACAATTTTCCAAGGCTCAAAGTTCGGGTAAGCAATTCAATTTTTTTTTTAATTATGCAAACATTTTTAATTGAATGTGTTACATTTTGTTTTAGGTAAAATGACCATTAAGTTAAAAGATCAACCTCTCGTAACTAATTTCCTAGGATTCTTAGCGCAAATAGAGAAGTGCATAGACGACATACTGAAAAATACCAAGAGAATAATCGACGACTCACAGTACATGATTTACAGACAAAAATTGAGATACATCAATAGATTTGGTAATATGGGTCGACTGATCCTTATCAACAAAACTGTTAAGTCAAAGAGTATCTTCGGCAATTTGGACGAGTGCATTCTTCTGCTAAAAGTCCACTACAGATGGCTGAAGAAGTTCTTCACTTCTCTCGAGGAAGATTACAAGGAAGGTGAAATTAACGATGAACACAAGGAAGACATTACTGATTTGAAACGCATGATGGAAGAAATCGATAATAGCTTGATGTCGACTTACGATCCTTTCAGAAAAGTTTGCAAAGCTTATAGAAGACACATCAATTCACCATTGCCATGCTCACAAGATTTAGTATTGAACTGCAACTCGATACTTCAGGGTATTACCGAATCTTTCACATCGTCGAAAAATAAATATATCAATACCAACTTGTCATATGAACAAAAATTCTTCACTCTGCAAACGAAAGAAGCTTTGCACGCCCGTTCTCTGTTGATTACTCTATGGAGCAAAATTTCAGCTAATGAGATACTGAGTGATGAGGTACTTGTTTTAATAGACAACTTAAATAAATTCTGCGAGGAACGTCTGAATATCGTCGAGTCGAATGAAGATTTTGATTCTGAATTGGAAGCGTATTCATGCAAAGAGTTGGCTAAGACCACAGCAAAAATCCAGATGTGGCCAATTCACGAACACATGTTCACAGTCTATGTGAATATGTTGCAAAAGAAGTTGTGTGAAAAGTTAGATGAGAGAAATACTCAGGTTACGTTGCCATCAATTAGTATCCCTCCTCAACAACTAAACATTCCAAATATACCTATTCAGTTGCTTGCTACTCTCAACACCATCAGTGCAAAACAAGAAGAAAAAACAGAAAGAAATCGTTTGCTACTCGCTCTATTAATTTGGTTTTTACCTTATACTGAGAACTCTTATGCCATAAGAAAATATAAACAGATATTGCACTGGAAAATTGCTTATGGCAAAGATAAATTACCAGAAGTGTCCGATGTTAACAATGCTGCCACTGGACCTGTACTTATTAATTTGGTTACTGAACTCCTCCTGAATAAATCTCAACGACTGCATTCCGATAAATCAACCACCGTCATTGCAACACCACTTAGAAATTATAATACACATTTACGACAGATGAAAACTCTGAACGACTTGTTGTGGAAGAATAGTATTTCTATCAACTCTCAGCAATTCAATCAAGAAACCAATGACTTGAAAGCTTTGCAATCTCTGATAGATGACTTTTTATTAGCTACAGATGGAGTGCAAGCTACTTGCAGCATCAAAAAATGCCTCGAAGATGAAAATTTAAGATCTGCTGTTCAGTCGACTATTAAAACCGAATATGTGGACCCACTGTTGGCTTTATTGGAAATTTCAGATCAGCTGAAGAAGACTGAAGAAGGTATTGATTTGGACAGAGATGAAGCTGAAGAAAATACTGCTTTGGGTAGAGATAAGACTGCAGAATGTATCGCTTTGATCAGGGGTAAAGCTTGGGTTTATCTGGGATACCTGCAAGCATTTATATTCAGCAATATGGGATACATCGATCCAGTGCACAAAGTCGCGCTTAAGTTGCGTTATATAGAAGAAGATATTACCGATTGCGAAAATACAGCTTACGTCGCTAAATTGTATTCAAGAACTTTAGGACTTATGGACGACCATACACTTCATCCAAGACTTACAGAGGTGCAGAAACATCTAGTGAAACTTAATGACGAAAAGAATTCGTTGCAGAATCTTAAAGCTGTCAGACCTCCTCACGCTGATTTTGTTGCTCTTTCCAAAGAGTTCACTAATTTCCGAGTATCTCTCGGTGCTTATAAGAATGTTAAAAAATATATTGACCAGTTGACTGCAACTGTTCAAAAATTGAAAAAAGAGGTTTGTAATGAAATAATTCTTATATTAGTACTTAAAATAAAAATTTACAGTCTAATAATGTTTTGTTTACTTTTTCAGAATAACGAGAAAAATAAAGAATGTGCCAAATCCACAAAACGAGAATCTGAAATTTATTTAGAATCCATACGTAAGTTTATGGATCAGGTAGAAACGAAATATCTATCCGGTTACCCAGACATAGTTTTTCCTATCCTTGCTGGTCTTGCCGAAATGCGTCACGGTCTTTACATTCTCATCGATGAAAGTAGCAAACAGATAGCCATTGCCGAAACCGACGTGATATCAAAAAATATTGAAGTGAAATCGGGAGATACCGGCGAGGAATCGGAAACTATTGAATCATTCCTACATAAATTAGTGTGTTTCCCGACAATCGGCCCTCATCAAGACAGTTTGCTAGAACTGGTTAAACTTTGCACAACATATAAGAACAGAGAAATGCTGAACGCTAACGTGAAGTCGGAGAAAACATTTGTCGCTCTACAAGAACAGTTCAGACTGACCATTACTGGCCTCTACGAGTTTTACAATTACATTATTCTAAAGGGCAACTTGACAATAGATTTATGGTCGGACTTAAATTTTCTTCTTAAGCAAATTGTGCTGATTTGGCAACAACAGCAACAAGAAATCGAAAGGAACGAGGTTGAAAAAGAAAATTTATATAAAAACCGAATTAAGGTCCAAGGAGGTAGTTTGACCGATGAAGAAGAAATTGCTCAAGAACTGAAAGCTTTGTTCCCTACGTACCGAGATGAAGATTTTGCCGATATTGACGATACTATGCATTCGACTTTGGAAAAGAAGGTAAAAACTAAAAGCAAAGAAGAAGACTTTGGGGCGTTGATTACCGAGAACGATATTAAAGAAGTTCAAAATATACATTCTAACATCGTCAAATCATTCACCACCTCCGAATGGCTGCAAAGTAACAACAACGATTTTCATCCTGATTTTATTGAACCTCTGCTCCAACGTTATAATACTTTTGGTCTACTAATGAATAATGTTGCGCCAGCACTCAGTAACGAATTGACTGGTAAACTGTATACGAGTCTTAACGTTCTCACACAGTTGACTGCACGACTTAGTCAAGGTGAAACTTTGAGCCCTTCGAGTTGCATCAATAATGCTAAGAAAGAAAGTAAACTGTATGACTATTACAAAGACAGCAACGTTGAAGAAGTGAAACAGTGTTTACCACTGTTGGAAAACATCTACACCAAAGTTAGCGACTTGTTGAAGGAGTGGCCAGACCATCCTACATTGGTTTCAATCAAAACAATTTTGCAGAGATTATACTCTTTCCCAATCACATCGTCTGTTTCGAGATTCCTGACAGGACTTGAAATGCTTCTGGTCAAACTACATGAATGGGAGGCAAATGCTCACAGAGGCGTCTCAATGCAAGAATTAATTGTAACTTTAACGCAACAAATCATCTCTTGGAGAAAATTGGAGTTAGCCTGTTGGAAAGATTGTCTTACAACGAAATACTTGGCATTACGCTCTCATGCTTCCAAGTGGTGGTTCTTCCTGTATTCTCTATTTGACAGTTATGTAGATCCAAAACTTGGTAAGATTAATAAATTTTTAATACATTATTTTTACAAATGTGCACAATATAATAATTCCATTATTTTCACTTTCAAACAAAGAAAAATCATCTGAAGCCGTGACAGCTAAAAAACTGATTGAATCACTTGAGTTATTCATGACCGAGTCGACTATTGTAGAGTTCGAGGTACGGTTAGACTTACTTTTGACATTCCACTGCCATGCATACTATCTAGAACCAAGTATCAAAAGAAGCGAACTCTTAGCTATTTCCTGGAACGTTCACAACTACTACAAACAATTCTTGTCTGATATTGAAAATAAAATCAAGTCCATTAAAGTTCCAATAGAGAAAAAGCTAAAAGATTTCGTCAAAATAGCAAGATGGAATGACATTAACTACTGGTCTGTCAAAGAAACTGTAGATAAAACACATCGTACTTTACATAAATTTATCAAAGAATTTGAAAATAGCTTGAGAGAACCGGTAGCGCCGTTCTTGATTGTAAAACCAGTATATAAGAGTGAAGCTGTAAGTTACATTGATTTAAAATATATATTCAATTATTGATTCATTTTGTAATAGAAAATCATTCTTAGGGCATTTGGGATCGACCAGCTCACGAAGAAAATATATTAATTGATCCAGATAATTATGTTATCTCTAAATCACAAACGATTAATATAGATACAGTAAAAAGCGAGTTTATCACAGAAGTTGACAAGAAATACTTACGCAAGGCAAGAAAACTTTGTAAACAAGTCATTCTGTCTTCATCATATCCAAGCATAAGAGTCGATCTTGATGACTTTATCGAAGAATTTGTGAGCCGTAGTGCTCGTCTACGAGCTCTTGAAATCAATCGAGATCTGCCTAAGCCAAAACAGAAAGCCGAGGCCAAAAGTATTCTACAACAAAAACGTACAGCACTCGCTGACTATTTCAAGCAACTATTAGCCTATGGAATTCATCACCGAAGTGGAAATCTTGCTTGGAAGAATAGACAAGATGAGATTCTTGATTTTACTATTCCCCCAGTAGATATCAAAGCTGCTCTAGATTTCGCTGATGCAAGTTCGTTGGAAAAGAATATTGGCGACCAATGGTGTAGTTGCGAAAGGTAAAAGTCAGGCGTGAAAATATAATTATTTTAGTTAAGAAGTTGGATATTAGTAATACATTTAGTACTCAATTTTTTTCAGATACTACTATGGCTCTTTGATCAAACTAGCTGCTCTAAACCGTACATTAACGGCAACCAAAACCGATCTTGGAGCTCAAAATGTCGAATGGTGTCGAGGTTTCTCTGCGCATCTCATGCTTCTAGCCAACAAACAGAAGAAACAATTAGCATCTGTCTTGAAGTACTTTATGAGCTTGCGCAACTACGTGTCAGATTTAGCTAAATTGAACTTCAACAAATTCACAAATATAACGCAGGAAGATTTAGACATCATTGCGAAAGATCTCAAAGATCTGTTGATTACTGCTCGTGCTTGTTTTGAACAGTTCTTGATCTACATGCAAGCTTGTCCAACTGAAACTCTCGTTGAGGATGAAGGTGATAGTTACAGTTTATGTAATAATAACTTACCTATAATCGACTGCAAGAAAAACGACGAAGTATGGTATAAAGCTGTTAATTACATAAAGGAAAGTTTAGATATCGTGTTAGATATTTCAAAGCGTTGGAAAACTGTATTTTCAGAGTTGATAATTATTCCTGAAAACAACGAGTCAAATAGAAGTACGGTTACACTTATAACATCAAAACACTTTACGTTTTTGGTTGAAAGTTTTGACTCTTTGAAAAATGTTTATAATAAGGTACAAGAATTTTCAATCATCTTCGACACCTCGAATGAAGATAAACATCCTCTTCTAGATAATATTCAATTCATCGAAACAAAAATTTCAAGTCAGATAAATCATTTCGACCGAGTGCTTCAAAATTCTGATCAAGAACCAGAAGTTAACTTCGCTCTGTACCAGCCAGATTTCGACGACTATGAAAGCGTTTTAGATGGCTTGATTGAAACAATTTTACTTGTTATACAAAATAAATACAAAGATACATTAGCCGCTGAACTTGAAGCTTCAGAAAACGTAGAAAAGAATGACGAAGAGATTAGTAATGAAACGGTAGAAGAAAAGATAATTGGTCAAAAAGAAGAGACGAATGACGAACAAGAAAAGAAAGATGAAAAGAAGATAAACGACCAAGAAGAACAAATAGTAGAAGAATCAAATGATGTCAAAAAAGAAAATGAAATTATAAGTGATGAAAAGATAGATAAGACGGAAATGGAAAACGATGAAAAGAATGAAGATGAAATAACACATGATAAAAAGAAGGAAGAAGAAGTAGAAAATGATGAAGTGGAAGATAAAAATGACTTTGAAAAAAACATGCTAAAAGAAAAACTAATATATGCTGTTACAAAAGACGTAAACACCTTAAAATTGAAAGAAATCCATCAGTACCTTACTAGTATTTTGGAAACTATATACGAATCTGATGACGTAGTAGTTTTATATTACTTTAGGTAAGATTAATATTTTACTGTATAATTTTTAAGAATTTTTCAACGACTTATTTATAATATGTTTTTATTTGTCATATTTCAGAGTTCTTAAAAAATGCTTGCCACTCATGCAACAATACCTCAAATTCGTGCAATTCTACCTAAGTGAGCAGATAGCATCTTACCGCATCACCTGTAAAATTCTTTATATGCAACTCAACGTATTCCTTGACCTTGCCACCAACGGTTTTTGCACGCCAAAGGATCTAGATTTAGAACAAGAAAAAGATGGCGAAAAGTCATCAAACAAAGAAGGTGGTATGGGACTAGGAGATGGTGAAGGTGAAAAAGATGTTTCAGACAAGATCGAAACTGAAGATCAGTTAGAGGATGCAAAACCATCAGGTCAAGAGAATGAAAATCCAGATGACAAGGATTGTGCTGAGGAGGATAAAGGTATTGAGATGTCGGAGGACTTTGAGGGAAAACTACAAGATGTAGAGAAAGAAAAAAATGAAGATGGCGATCAAGATAATGAGGACGATGATGATATTGATAAGCAAATGGGAGATACTTCTGAGGGTGCTGACAAATTAGATGAACAGGTTTGGGATGATGAAGAGGAGGAAGAGCCTCAGGGAGAAGAAACTAATAAAAATGAAGACGAACTTGGCGATGGTGAAAGAACAGGTAATGCTTTTTATGTTGTTATAGATTTTAATGGTAATGAATTTCGTTTTGAATAATGAAGTAATTTTTTTATTCAGGAGAAAAAGAGTTCGGAGCTAAAGACGAACGTACAACCGAAGATTCCGAGGACAAAGGTAACAATGAAGAAAAAACTGAGCAACAAGAACAGAAGGAGATTAACGAGATGGAGGAGCCAGAGTATGACGAAGACCAAGTCAATCCTTATCATGGAAAACACCAACCTGAGCCAGAACCTGAACCGTTAGATCTACCAGAAGAAATGAATATCGACGACGATGATACTAAAGACGAAGAAAAACAAGATGAAGAGAATCCATTTGACATAGATAGGATGAAAGAAAATATGCCTCCTCCTGAAATCAAAGAAGGCGAAGAACCCGCTGTTGATGAAGAAATGAAAGAGGATAAGACTAAAAAGGACGACTCCAGTGATGAAGAGGATATAAATGACACCGAAAAAGCAGGTGATCAAACTAAACAAGACGAAAAGATTCAGGAAGAGACACTCGAAGAAGAGTCTGCGAAACAAGGGTCAGAACCATCTAAAGAAACTGAAGGTGAGGAGGAAAAGCCAGAAGAAGCAGAAAAGTTCGAAAATATAGCTGAAGAGAAGGCGGAACCAAGTGTCGATGAGGCAAGTAAAGAACTTGATGCTACTGAGCAAACAGACGAGAGGGAAGGAGGCTCTAAAGATCAAGTGGCCAGTAATGTTGAAAATAAACAAGATACAACTGAAGAATCAAATTCTGAAAACTGGCAAGACGAGAAACAAGATAAAGGTACTGGTCAGTCACAAGCAGAGCAGCATGATACTGGTCATTCGGGTTCATCAATGGAAAAGAGTGTTCCCAAGCCAACTCAAGAGAACAATTTTGAAGAGGTAACATTAATTTAATTTAATAAGTAGCTTTTTATTAATTTTTACTAGTAATTAATATTTTGAAACGGACATATGAATGTTTGCAGCGAGAAAAACGAAAACATCCAGGACAGAGTGATGAAACACATACTCTAGCTGAAAAAATAGAACCGGACAAGAAAAAGTTGAAGACAATGATTCATGCTGAAGAACAGTTGCCAGATGAGGACAATAACGAAGAAGGAGCAGAAAAGGAAAAAGGAGAAGATCCCGATATGTGTCAACACGTTAAAGAAAAGGATAAGTTCGATCATTATGCAATGGACGCTGCAACCGAAGAACAGTCTAAAGAGCAAGCTTCAAATATGGAACAACATGAAGAAATTTCTGAAAAAGAAGAAGATAAAATGGATATCGACATGCATGAAGATACCGAGATCATAGAGGATGAAACTGTAGCGAAACAACATCCTGAAAAGTCGCCCAACGATGATAAAAACAAAGATAAACAAGAATCTAAAGAAAAGGGTAAACTTTCAAAAATTATTTTTAGACAAATTAATCATTTCTTTAGGAGTAACAAATTATGCAAAATATGTTTACTTTTAAGGTCGAGCAGATGATGGACAATTGGAAACAGTTGTTGAGATCGAGGGTGAAAATACAGAAACTACGACAGTTTCACGAGGTGCAGAAACGGCCTTCTTTACAAATTTAACCGATTTTGACAATGAAACACTATTAAATCGTCCGATGGAAGAGCGAAGACAAGAGGTAGAAAATATGCTGAGTCAGTGGACACATGTACCGACGACAGAAGAGGCAACTGTAGCTTGGAATACCTTGAGTTCTGTGACTGATGCCGCAGCTCGCGACCTATCAGAAAAATTAAGATTGATACTAGAACCTACGCAGGCTTCGAGATTGAAAGGCGATTACCGAACTGGTAGGAGAATAAATATGAGAAAAATCATTCCCTACATTGCTAGTCAATTTAGAAAGGATAAAATTTGGATGAGACGAACAAAACCATCCAAAAGAGATTATCAAATTGTTTTGGCCATTGATGACTCTAGTAGTATGGCCGATAATCATTCCAAAGAATTAGCCTTTGAATCGTTGTCACTTATAAGTAAAGCAATGACGTATTTAGAAGCTGGACAACTAGCTGTTCTTAGTTTTGGAGAAAAATCTACAGTTGTACATCCATTGGGAGAAACATTTAATGAACAAAGTGGATCAAGGTATAATTCAATAATAAGGCTTTTACACGTCAGAAATATATAGAGGTATAATTCATTTTTTTATATTTTTGTTTTAGATTAATGCAAGAAATGAGGTTTGAACAAAAAGAAACTAAAATTGGCCAGTTAGTGAATGGTGTCGTTGATATGTTAGAAGAGCAAAGTAATTCCACAAACAACGCAAAACTACTTCTTGTTTTATCAGATGGACGAAATATTTTCTCAGAGGGTATCGACACGGTTAATCGAGCTGTTCGTAAAGCCCGTTTAGCAGACGTTTTCTTGGTTTTTATTATAGTAGATAATCCTAAAAATAAGGTAAATAGAATACAGTTTTCTTTTTTACTTTGTAATTAATTTATTCCATACTTATTGAAAAACACATTCTCTTTACAGGATTCAATCTTAGATATAAGAATGCCAGTTTTCCGAGAAGGGAAATTAGTTGGCATTAATTCATATATGGATAATTTTCCGTTTCCATTCTACATGATATTAAGAGATATCAATGCGTTACCTGGTGTTTTGAGTGATGCTTTGCGACAATGGTTTGAAGTAGTTGGTAAAATTGACATTTAATTAATCCAAAGAAAACTGGCATTCATTATTCCAAGAAGAACTAGTATTTGCTGTATTTTGTTATATTGTATATATATATTTTTTTTGATTTGTGAATGTAAATAAATAGTTTTTCTACCTTCTAATTTTACTTATTATATTCCAGTTTTCCTTATTGGCCTATCATGTTCCACTAAAAGGTTTTGTGTGGATCGTTGTAAAACTATCTTTTTATAACGAAGCTACTAAAAATTTTATACATAAAAAATAGTTTTTAACTATCAGAAATTTGCCGTGATTTGTTTGAACAGCAATAAGCTTATATAAATAAATAGGGTTTAATTTATAAAGAAATTTTATAGAATTGTATATTACAATAAAGTTTCAAAAAATTCATTTTTGTCAATTTAGAAAAATTGAAGTTGTTCAAATATTAGCGACTTGAACGCCATAACACCAGCGCTGATATAGTCACATGGTTTCCAAAACACTACTTAACCTCAAAACTGATCGTTTATTAAAAAAAGCAGCTGTAAGAAAAATGATTGTATTTTTATGACATTTTAAAGGAATAATAGAATTTAAATTAATTTGTAATGATTAATTTTGTACATAAGTAGAATAAAACAAAATGAATATCTTACGTCAGCTGAGTCTTACGCCCAATATAGTAAGAAACTTAATTCAAACAAGAAATTATGCAGTTCCAAAACTTCCAGTAGAATGGATCGAACCAGAAAAAATATCATGTATTGACCCAAGAAAAAGTGGTGATGGGGGATTAGAATTGAACATTAAGCCAGAAGATCCTATAAAATTCTTTGAAAAATCAGAAGAGCTTAAAGGGTAAGTAAAATATGTAGTATTTTAATACGTATTGTTTATAATATATTATAGGTCATATGTTCCCTGAAACATCAATAACTTAATTTATTAAAATATACTGATCAATTGATATTTATTTTATATTACAAAACTATAGGAAATTATACTTAAATTAAGACCATACAAATTCGACTTTTTTTTATAAATGTAAAGTAATTTGATTACAGAGCTGATAGTATTGTCAAGAAAATATTTTCTATCAATTTCAACAATAGAAAGTCTACTGTTTATCTTCAAAAAGAACGTGCCATACAATTAGTTCAGCGACATAGCCACGATCGAGGTTCTATGGAAGCCAAGAGTATGTAATTTTTTAATTATTTGGTTATATTTGAATTTTATATACATACACGTATAAACATATAAACATGTACCTATAAATATGATGGTTCTTCAAAAATTATCATCTTTAAAAATTTTAAATTGGTCCTCTTACCATTTAAAGTGGTTGAAATTTAATAACCATTTGTTTTTTGTTATATTTGTTATAAATTATAGTTGCAAAAATGACAGTCAGAATTTTACAATTGCAAGAGCATCAAAAAATCTTCTGGCAAAATAAGAAAACGAAACGAATCTTAAAAGAGCTAATTGACAAAAGAAATAAATGTTTGAAGTTTTTGAGAAGACAGGATTACCCACGATTTGAATTCTTACTTGAACGTCTCAATCTTATATACAAGCCATGTCCTGAGTAAGTTGAATAATGTTATAAGAGGGCAAATAGATTTTGTACAATTATATTCTAAATTTGCTGAAACTTATTTTAGAGACAAACAACCACTTGACTATAAATCGTGCACGACGCGATTAATGGAAAAGTATTGTGACAAAATAGTAAAGGAGAAACTGGCTAACTATAGGCAAGAATTAGAGTCTCAACAGGCTAGTTTTTTCAAAGAAAAAGCCGAAAAATTAGAATTCATAAGAAACGAAGAGATCGCTTGCGGTGTCACGCCTACGATTAGTGAGGAAGAAATTGAGGCAGCCAAGCAAAAAGCTGCGTCATTTGTAAACTAAATTTATGACATATCTTTATATTAAAAATAAAAGTTAATACAAAATTACCATGATTGGTATATTCTGTCTTTTGTAAGATCAAAAGGATCGCACCTTTCGTTATAATTTATCACATAGTGTTGATCAATTGTTGCTGAAAGAATTAAGAGTTTATCATAAAAGTATTATTTATTAAAGTATTAATTTATGGTTTTTGTTCCGATACAATGTCCTGATTTTTATTACATTAGCATACACAATAACAAGTAATATAATTAACGTGACGCAAGCTTTAAAGGAGACATAAAATCAATGTTTTAAAAACAACTCTTTTTCGAGATAGTATTTAATAATAATGTATTTATTTCGGTTTTTCTAGATGACTGTTTCTTTTGTGTCGATTTATTTCCCGTATAAACTTTATTATCCATCCAATGGTTTATTCTCAATAATATAGACCATATAAGTTTTGAAGTGCATAGTAACAAAGAAAACTGATTAGAAAATTTTTAAATAAAATCGATTTTGTATTTAATCCCGAATCCGCTTTCTACTTTTGGAAATGTCTCTGGGCATAAATATTTAATCACGCAAGCAGTGACGCATTATATAATTTTATTCAAAAGTATTTATGAGAAAAAATTGTGATTTTGAAAGTTTGATGAAACCGACAAACAGTCACAACAAAAATCCTGTGATGTGCCTTGGCAAAAAGAGTGAAAAGTTTGATATTCTCAAAGGCAAGCTTCGATGACTTATTTATTGAAAGTATTGCAATGAAAACTTTAATCTGAAAGTCTGCGCATACAATAACTATAATTTGGAAAAAAATCAACCTTAACAAACTATATTGTAATAAGGTGAGAACAAAATGTTTTATTATACTTCTTGAAATGCTCATAGACTAGAAGAATATAGATTTTATAATAAATTGATTTGTTCGGTGACAAATTGATGCCGAACCTGTTAAGAATATGTGATAATAATATTACTACAACTATTTCATGACTTTCTTCATAATTTACTAAGATTTTATTGACAGTGTATATCCTTACTTCGCGCTAGCAGAAGAATTCCAGATACTCTTCATTGTTTGTTGAGTTAAGAGGACAATTTATAATTACTTCAACTTGTTAGCCGATTCATCGGAAAGGTAATACGACAATAATACCGACATTGAGATGTAACATTTATCGAAGAAATCCATAATTTTCACGTGCAGAGAAATATCCTGTAGGCGAATAAGTCGTAGCAATGGATAAAGATGCCAGTATCGTAGCTTTTTAATAATTAGTTTCGTAATGATACTACATAACATCAAATACTCACATTATTCTATTATTTTGCGATTACTTATAACTGTATTGTACACTAGTCTTCATTTAATTATCCAAAAGCTTTAATTGTTTCTTGATAGTCCACATTTTCGCCAGTAATGCTATAGGTATATTAATTGTCAACATATTGCCAATGAGGATACGGGTTTAAATAAAAATGTAGAATTCAGGTTTTTCGTTACATATCGAATGTCTACTTGATTTAACGAGTCGTGCCATCCCAAAAAGTTGGAACGAGTCTTCCAAGATACACTGATATACGTATGTTAAATAGAAATGAGAATCTTAGGAAACGCCCAGGTTGATATGTGTGACACCTGTCAACTTTATTTTTCGTATTGAATATGAAAGTTAAAATGAAAGTAATCATATGCGTTTTTTTTGTTGACACATCAATCAATCTCGTCGCAGGCTAGAGCATTGATATCGCCGATGAACAGTTTCTTATAAAAGTATGCAACTGGTTTAGAGGTCGCTTATGGCAATGCTAGAGAAGTTCCCGTCGGACAAGGTGAATTTTTTCATCCGCAATCGTCGATACTTTCCTCAGACCAAGCGTCACTAATGCGTGTACACATTCGTACTCGGATTTTCTTTTTCAATATTTATACACCGGCGAGTTTTTTTCCGCGGCAATAATCGTTGCATTCTCGACGTTTGCAACAGAAAGTAGACGAACCGAGCTCGCGCGTTTGTCGCGGCAAACGAAATTTAATTTGCCTTCGCGTGCGCCGATGATTAATCGTCGAGTCACATTAATTGACTGTAATTGAGGTTCCAAGCGAAGCGGCGCGGGGCAATTGCGCGCGAAATATAACGGGCGCGCGCGAGTGAACGCGCGCGATTGTATTGTACATAGGTACATATAAAGAAACACGTCGCTTCGGCTGCATGTCGCATTATCGAATGGTGCTCCCGAGCGAGATCTTCGGAGCAACAGTGGAGAAATCGTGAAAACGCAACTGAAAGATCACTGCGTTCGACGAGATGTTGTTTCCCAAGGTAGAGAGTTTCAAATGTGCGTTTCAAATCGGTCGCTTGGTGCCCAATGTTGGCTTTCGGAAGTGGAATCTTGTCAAAATTTATCAATTAAGTATTACTCTTCGTGATTTTCACTTGTTTCAATTGCGCGAGTTCTGTGAAATTATTAGTGTTGAAAGAGTGTTTTACAAATTTTGTCCTTTCTTTTTTCCTGCGCAAAGTACATTGAAATTGAATAATTAATCCGGTAGATCTATATGCAACCAATTGCGTATTTCTTTACGAAACGATCGGAATACATAGTCGAGTACGAAGATGAACTTTACATTGTGTGATATACGATAACGCTTTGACCACAAAGTCGCATGTAACTAGTAATTACTTGGTATTAATACGTATATAGCTTGAACAACGATTGATGAGGAAAGGCTAACGCATAATATGAAATGGTCAAACATTACTTGTACTTGATTTTTATTATCCAAAAAATTCATTCGTACAATATTTAAAGTGTCGCAATTTTACTTTCAGGCAGTTTTTGTATTTCTTCTGAATGGAATTAGCCTAAGCGAAGTTTTATCACAGTGAGTTTTCTAATTCACCAATTCTAATTCTAATTCGAATTCAAAAATCCAACGTTATTTTCTTCTGCACGAATCAATTCAGGTATGGATACAAATCAGAAAGGATTAACAACGACCTTTGCAACACAAAAGCACTGCACGAAAATTATCGCGACGCAATCATAGTGTGCATCTCCAGTCCCAAGCCAAAAGTACAAAAGGTTGCATCGGCTTATGGTGCACGATACTATGCGTCTCAAAAAGCGTCCAACAGCTACGTCGTGCCTGCTACGGTGATTGCCGACAAACCTAGATCTTTCATCGCCACGCAACATGAGATTAGCAACAAAGATGCGGAGTTTACGGTGAGACACCGTTTTAACATTTGATATTTTAGGAAAGTGATGGAAGAAGCTGTTCGAACGATCGCCTTAATTCTCATAATAACATATTCTTAAACCATGTTATTTGATACTAAATTAAAATTCGAGAGAATTGTTATCGTTGAAAATTACACCTATAACTACGCGATGAGAAAAGTGTACAAGCGGAAAACTTTCCACTATGCGATTTAACGAACAGTTTCTCCGTTTTTCGTGGCTCCAATCTTTTGCGCTCTGAAGCAGAAATGGCGCGAAATCGACACACACACACGTAATAATCGTTGCGCGAGAAGTTGGAAATGAAGGTGCAGAGGGAAAACATTGTTCTCAAAAACCGATTGGAAACCAGCTAAACCGCAGCTCGTTAGAGCTTCGTATTTATTGGACGTGCGCCAATTTCCTCGCGGTGGCTCTTATCAATCAGCGCAAAAATTATGACGCTCAGAGTCGCATTCTGACGGGATAATAAACAGCAATTAGCCTTTCGCCTCGGCGGCGGCGTCTTGTTGTTACTTACGGCTTTCCCCGACGATAATTCACTTCCTTCCCCCCTCTCTGCCCTGCTTCTTACAGATTTATCCGAAGTACTCGTACAACTATGGTGTGCTCGACGGGAATACCGGAGACACAAAGGCAGCCTGGGAAGAACGCGACGGGGATACAGTACGTGGTGAATATTCGGTCGTCGAAGCTGATGGTTCCATAAGAACTGTCACTTACACGGCAGACGATCAGCACGGCTTCAATGCTGTTGTCACAAGGACCAAGCCAATGACGATCGTCGCTCAATCTGCAATCGTCAAGAACTTTTCACCATTTTCTATTTACAACAGAGCAAGACCTAGGCCTTGATACTCGATTGCATAATTATTTCATTCACCGAGCTGAGGGATCAATGCCAAGTCAAACTAAGACTTGTGTGCCACAGAGACTTTGCATATTTTTCTATTGGCCACATGCGGTTGAAATCGAGAACAGTCACGCATTTAATAAAAAACCGCACGTACGACGTTGCATAGAAATTCTGATCTCGTTAGGCCTATCAACTTGAAATTTATATTATTTAATTAGAATGAAAAACCTAGTTTGTCAAATAATCAAGAGTACAATCTAATTGGACAAAACGGTTTGGAATAAATGTAAGAAAGTCAACGTGTCAAATTGATAAAAAATGGTTTAATTACAATAATAAATTACAAGAAACAATTAAATATTAATTTACACGGTTTTCAATTCTGGTCCTACAGAAAACAGTTTTACATATCGTATAATTTTCAGATGCATAAATTCGAGGTAATTTATAGCAATTATATAACTTGATGCAGTTAGATTCAATCGCAAATTTTACACCATTTAACTTCCTTCGTTCGTTAAATAAGAAATTGTATTGTATATGTCATCATTGAAAGTTAGAAAAAAGAACAGAAAATTCCGAATGTATCATCAGCGTAAAATGTAAAAAATATATAAATAATCATCAATTCTTCTTCTCCTATCTATGACGTACTGTACTAATTCATCAATCAATTCGTCTATTAAAAGAAAGTACTAATTATTTTATTATGTATTTATGCCTCATTAATTGCTGAATTGATTGTATTTATTATAGCCCGTCTAGTCGTCTACAATCTATTTACCAACAATGAGACTTAAGCGCTTAGTGTTATACATTTTTTAATAGGTTTATTTTCAGGGTCCGCAACGCATTTACCAAACAATATTTTACAGTTGACATTGGACATTTTTACACTTGCTTAGCTACAGTTTATATCGAGATGTTAAAATAAATAAGTTACCGCAGACATTAAATATACATTACAGAAAAAGAAAATCAAGTGTACAATCAAGAACGATGGGTATACATCAAGTCGTTGCAGCCCCATCGATACGACATATGACCCTATATAGTTTCATAGATTTGACATTGGATGACGCTTTTTTTTATATAGTAATGTTCAATGGAAAGTGAACTATTTAACAAATTCATTCATAATGAAAAAGTGATTAAAAATCTTGTTTACCGATCCTACCTATTTCTCGATCTCTTACTACTACTCTTTTTAGCGCTATTCGAGGGTCTACTTTTATTGGCATCTTTACTGTTGTTGAGTCCATCTTTAACAGGTGTCGAACCATGATCTAAATTACCATTAGATATTGGTCCGTTAGATTGTATTGGAAATGAAGCGTTACTGTCTGTACTACCAAGGGAACCATTATTTTGGGTATATCCAGTCTGAGCTGACGTGTGATTTTTACCACTGGTTTCTTTACTATTGCTAGACGAAATTGCATTGGAATTATTGAAGTTGCAATTGTCCTCACTGCCACTATTTCCAATCTGCGATTCTGATTCGCTGTATCGGTCAACTAGAATCAGTTACTTTTTGTTAATAGCCAGACGCACTTACTTAAGAAGAAAGGAAACAGCAAATTCGCAGGCAGATTTTATAAAAAACGTGCAACAAATTTGATAGGCATATACTTCAAGTTATTCAAATATTAGAGTTAGTGTATATTAGCAAATTTTAGAATTGATATCACAACTTGAATAACTTTCTAAGCAAAGATGATAAACATCAACAGTTTTATCTATAGCCGTACATTACATTGCCAACAATTGTCACAAGAAGCAGGAGACAATTTTATAATAATGCTAATTGATAAATATTTAGAGAAATCATAAAATTATAATATTCTTCCAGTAATTTTGGTCATTGATAACCAGAAAACAGTACAATAAGGAGGAGACTACCACCACAATGTCAAGGCTGCATAACTACAGAGTGAAAAAATAAGAAATGATAATTTTCTTTAAAATAAAGATACGTATATTGATGAAAACGGACGCACCAGCATTCGACGTATTTGGTAAAAAGCTTGTACAATTACTTAAACCTCTCATTAGAGGTGAAGACGTGTAAACTTACATACTAATATAAAATAAAAATTAAGCCAAAATTAAAATTAGCACAACTTTTATACAATAACAAATACTAAATGTTTTACATACACCTACTTATAATATAAATAACAATTCAATTACACTAAACACTTTCACGCAATTGAACTAAAATACATTTGAATGCAGGTGCAAAATGATGATTACTAGGAAAAGAAATTACAAAAGAAAAAAGATACTGGTCAATTGGTACTATGATAGTGGTGAGTTTTAAAAGTTACGAATACCCATTTATATCCTTACTTTTTTCCTGTGCATTCTCTGCTAAACCGCTAACAGCCTGCAAAAGTAAATACACATAATAGAAATGCTTTTATAAATAATGGATCACTAACTAAATTTATCTATAAATTACAGCCATAGATGTTATAGATGATTTTGAAAACAGTCTTTCAGCCTCTTTGAACTTTCTATTTCGCTTGTCTGCTTTACTATTTGTATTTTTGTTACTCGCTAGATATCTATCCCATCCTCGTATAATATTGCCATATAACTGAGTATCTTCGAGGTAACTTCCTTCAAAAGCGTAAATTTGCCTTTCCAAATTGGCCAACGTTTCCTGGATAATACAATTTAGTATTCATGAATAAAAAAACAATTAAATTGTGGTAAATTTTAGTTTCATATGAGGTTAGTTTTCTACAAGAACCTAACCTTAGAAATATTTATATTCTTTCTAACATAATTTTTGACATATAATAAGTTGTATATATAGTAATAAAATTAAAAACCCTTGCTTATTTATTCATCTATTTATGGCAGTTAATGCATGCATAGACAGGTAAATGAGTAAAAACAATTGTTTACAGTCACTTACAGCTATTTCAGCCTTCCTTTTAACAAGCTCAGCTAGTTCTGACCTCAAATCAACTGATGACTTTGCAGTCATGATGAAATAAATTTTTTTCTTTTTCTATCGCAAAACAGTCTCGTACGACTACAAGCTTTGATAAACATGAAACTTTCTCGAATTCAACACCATATATTATATATTTTTGGTGGCCATTGCCGTTTGTGATGCTAAACAGTCGCCATTTTTCTGCAAAATGGACGCTTCCGCTTTTTTCCGCCGTAATTTAAATGTTTAAAATTTAATTGAATCAAGTCAAGTGTAAAGCAAAGCGATGAAATAAATTTGTACGGAATCATTTATTTTTAAATAAATAATATGCACACTACATTATGATCATTATAAAGATAGTTTATGTCTAATTACAATTCATCTATTTATTAATTTGCATGAGCGTGCGCATTTCATATAAATTTGTTATATTAAAAATATCAGGCTGATAACTATACGTGAAATGAAAATTTAACCATGCTAGATATTCTTAAATGAAATATAGGAATAAAGAAAGAATAAGAGTATCATAAATATTATATATACTTTACAACCATAAATATTTGTCTATAGAAATAAATAAAAATTATCTAAAAATAAAACTACTTCAATACTATTAAATTTTTACATTGAAATATGCAACATTCAGTGCGTTTCGTTGAACAGTATTAAGTAATTGAAACATTGTTCTGTTATTTCAGGATGAACGAAGCTGCGATAAATTTATATGAAATGCTAAGAAATAATTTGATTGTAATTAAATATATATAAAATCTTCAAAATACGATACAAAAGAAAAGTATGGCACATAAAAGTTAATAAACCTTGGAAGACTAAGGTTTTTCGTTACACACACAAACAAGATTGAATACTGCTTCTGACTAAGACAGGAGAATATGTCCTTATTGCAATTATTTGTAATGCATTCACGTTGAAGAAATCATAATTATCAAACCAGTCTCTAGCTACCACATACATATAGGAATAAAACACCGTAATAAATAAACAAAAAAGCGCAGGCATTGAAAAATATAAAAAAAGCTCTCGAACATCTCCTTTTACGAAAAACTTTGCGATAATCAGAAAATGATAAGAGGGTTGGTTCTATGATCGTATCTCAAAGTTCATCTTGGAAGCGTTCGATATCTTGCAAGTGGTCACCATAATCTGTAGCTTCACTACCAACAAAAACATCGTGATGTTCTAAAATTTCATCAAACGACAATCTGTTGTCGTGATCATCATCTGATGCAGCAAACAGATGATCCACTTCATCAGTGGCGATGTCTCTGTAAATTTTATGCACAAAGTTAGATGTCATATTTTCTTTTGAGAAATGAAAGCAGAAAAATTTAGTTGACTTACTCATTGCTGGGAATAATCCATGTATGAACTTCACTTATATCCAATTTACCATCATTATTTTTGTCATAAACATGATCAAATTTATCTTTCTCAATTAGAAGCCATTCTTTGTCTTGTCCTTCTGCTCTTTCACCTAGAAACTCTTGGAAGCTTATGAAAGAATCTTTGTCCTTGTCATAATCAACAAATGCCTGTTTTAAAATAACATCCAACATCCTAGGCGTTTCTTCTGGATGAGTATACGCCTTGAATTCATCTTCGTCTAAGTAGCCATCTTTATTTAAATCAGCAGCATTGAAAGTAGCTTTATCATTTTCAATTAGTTTGTCTTCTAAAGCTAAATCTTCTGGATCAGAACCATAAGTATCTTGTACAATTTCTTCCCAAGTCACTTTACCATCCTCATCTGAATCAGCATCCTCCATTCGGTCTTTAGATTCTTCATCAGAAAGCATTCTACAGTGAGAAATAGATTATGTTACTTTTGAATAAAGATAAAATATTATATTATATAATAAATGATAATCAAAATGTGCACTCATATCTAATAATGTACCATTAATATATTAAAAGCTATTATAAAATGTTATATAGAATTAGAAAAAGGAGAAAAATGAATACTTGTGATTCGTTAATAACTTACTTGAATGATCGTAAAATCCATGCTTTTAACTCATTCCTATCGATGTATTCATCCCCATTCAAATCCATTTTGTTTAATAGAATCTTCAAACGTCTTTTTGATTCTTCAATTGGTAGTTTATCAAATTCTTCTGCCTCTTTGACACTTCCTATATTAAAAATACAATTTCAGAATATTCAACAATGCAATATTTAGATATTGGAAATTTCACAGCATCATAATTAATACTATAAATTATAAAAGTACAAAGTACATAATTTTTAAACTTTGGATAAATTATTAGAATAAAATTTTATTGATAAAAATAGAACATTAAATTAGTTAAGTTTGATTTCAATAAAATAAAGCTTTGCTATTTTTAAGCTGTACTTTTACAAAGTAAACATTTCAAAAAAGCATGAAAACAAATATATTCTACCTTCGTAAAAGTTCAAATTCGACTTAAAACTTAATTTTAATAAAAATACTTTATATTTACTTACCTAGAATGGCCTCATGGTCAAACTCCTGATGATGTTCGCCGTGGGAATAGTGTCCGCTGTCTCGTGGACTAAAAGCTCCATCCTCCGTTCTCTCCTTGCTGTGGTGCTGGGTATGAATGTGCGCGGAGGCGGCTTGCGATTTTATAATGAAGTCCGCCAAACACATCAGTGAAACGAGAACAAGAAGACTGCACTCGGACAGGCGCATCTCTGGCGTATATAAACGGCAAACAAAAAGTAAAGAAGCAAAATGAATCAGAGATGCTCAAGTGCTTTTACGCGTCTGCACTTTGCTCAGCTCGCGAGCTACCCTAACCTACGTGACGTTGCTGATAAAGTGCCAGCGCGAATGTCGAACAGCTGATTTTTTTTAAACTCGATATGTATCGATATTAATGGGAGTATGTAAATCAATAGGTGGTGATTTTAGACGGTGGTTCCGAATATTAGATTAAATTTTGAAAATCATTGCCTTCATCAAAAAAACGGTACATGGAAATAGAATCATTAAAATATATTTACAATTTATTATATTCAGCCATGACATTTATTTTGTTTAAAAAAATTAAGCGGAAAATATTCCGTGAAATAAAAATGAAAGGTATTTATTATTTATAGATAATAAATTACAAAATTATTGACGACATTATTTCAATTAAAATTCACAAATTATAATTATGTAAATATATTTACATAAAACTGGCTTTAATGTCTGCTGTTACTTAATTACCATACAAAGATTTTGAATTGCACCACCTTCACCTAATTATGCACAATTTTAAAAAATTCATAAAATTGATTTTCATGAATATAGAAAAATGCCACTGCTCTACTTTACGGACAGTTGAATGCTTTTAGCGTATTTTAAACTTATGGTCGAATAAGAATTTAATTATAAACTCATTTGTTTGGATTAATAATTCTATTTCAATACTGTTTTGCTGTTAAACTCACTTATTTGTAAAATGTTATGGCTTTCGACGTGTTAGACGTTTGCCTTCCTAAGCTACACTGGCAGTGAAGAAGCTCACAAAGGGATCAAAGTTCGTGGGTTTTGCCACACAGTTATTTATGCACAAGCACGTTTCAATTTATAAGAGATCCTCTTGAAAAACCTTTAAACAACCTCTCATACGGGAGATGTCGTTATAATATTGTGAAAGAGCGTGCGTAAGATTTAACAATATATTAATTTGTTAATGCACATTTAACATTCGTTGGAAGAGCTTCCGATTTTATTGAAAGTCATTTCGCAAAGGTCCGTTGCTAGCTGTATGTTTTTCCTCCAAATTTTCGAGTTATAATAATAGTCTGTTAATTGTAAAAGGAAAAGCAGATATAGTATCTAAAATAATCGGAGCTTTGTGTGCACACGCGTCCGCATTAATAATAAAGAAAAAAAAGTTCCACCATGCACATATAACACGAGCTTGATAAAAATCGGATTTCAATTCCAACAAATTTCATAGAGTGGTCGGTCGCTTAAAACCGAAGGAGGAGGGGATCAAGCAACCTATATATCATAACGCAACGGACGTAATCTGGTTGTTCCTTCCGTCGATCTCCAAGCGTCAACCAAACGAAAATCCTGCTCACGCGTGCACCGCCAGCCACTCGCGAGAGCAAACACGTCAAATTGCTCGAGCTGCGCGTACAGTAATTTCGAGCAGCGACCTTTATAAAATATGGGAAGCAAGAAGACAGAAATAATAGGGATTATCGCACGTCGCGCGGGCGTCTGAACTTCATCCGTATCGCGGAGAGCTCGTCGCTCCGGGAAGAAGGCGAATGCTTATGAAATCAGCGTTACGCTGTAAAACTCAACGGAGCGTGAACGGGGGTCGACTCTCTCTCTCTCTCTCTCTCTCTCTCTCTCTCTCTGGCCACACAGCCACGACATACAGGATGTTCCGTGCCTTTCCGTGGTTTTTTCCCTACCCCTTCCTTGATTCTTTCCTTTCTCTCTCTCTCTCTCTAGGCGAGTTCTTTTTTTTCTTCGACCGCGATTGCTGAGAGCGCTCTTGTTTCTTGCTTTTTTTTCGTTGCTGTTAGATCTAACACTTTTTCAACACCTGCACGTCTACCTCGACTGAGCGAGTTAATTATCAGCAGGTAGATGGAAAAATAACTGTTTTGATTAAAATAGCCGAGTCGCGATAAGCATTAATTGAACAATTTATTATATTTTTTATAATTTTTTTTTTATAAAATGTCCACGGCATATATATTCTTTTAAATGTAGGTTCAATGCTGTTGGATCATTACAAATTTTTATTCGTGGTTATTGAATGTAGCGGTTGGCATTCAACGTAGTAACGAAGATGCTAGAGATGTTGCGGTATCGTAATTATTTTTAAATATAAGAATAAGTATATTTCTTCTTGGACGGTCTTACATTTAACAAGATTGTGCGGCATTGTGCAAAAACTTATTTACCAATTTGTAAGAGATACGGTGACCGCAGGGGAGTGTCGGAAAAATGAAAAATTTTGTGGCTACCGTTGGACGAGGTGCGTCTGTGTGTGTACGAAGCCACACGCTCGTGGGCGGAAGAGGTGAATTAGTTCTTTCTAAATCACAACCGACAACTGGCGCGCGGTGCTAGATTTGTCGCGTCACCGTTTCGCTTTGCTGCCTTTTTTTCCACTCTACAAAGCTCGATATAATGAGAAGAAGACAAAAACACGACGTCGTTCAAGACGAGAAGGGGACAGTTAGTGAAAAAAAAAAGAGAAACAGACACCGCTTAAACTTTAGCCAAGCGAGGAAATGAGACCAAGGGCCATTCACACTGACTTTGAACTCTGTTTCGAACGGACTTTTCGAGATCACATTTTTTTAGCACGAAGAAACAAAAAAATTGGTGTTCTTTCGATTATTAGAATGATTACGTTAATTTATAGAAATATATTAACAATTCAGTAACAAAAAATAAGACTCAACTTGCAATTGTATGTATATATATATACACGTATATACGTAATAAGAACTAAATTGTGATTTGAATCACTTGCTGTAATGTCAAAAAGTAATTTTTGTAAACTTTAAAATAATGTTTAAATTACGAAGATCATAATTAACGTTGGAATGACAAATCTATTAAAATTCACGAATGTAGATGAAATGTTATATTTGCGAAAATGAAACGTATCAGAATTTAACTACTGGATTAGATTTTTGCTTTTTACCAACGGTTATCAGAGAAATAATATGTAATAATCGACTGATGTTATTCAAGTGATAAGAAAATTGGCACCATATATATATAAATGATAATGGTATAAATAAATGATAAAGGATAAGCTCCATGATTATACTTCAAAATATCTTGCAAATAATCATCCCCGTGTAAGAAAGTCAAAATGGCCCAACATTGGCACAGCAACGTTAACCAAGACTGCCGGTACAGGCCGCCAGTGCTGGTCCAACGTCATCCGGGTAACGAAATGATAAGAATGGGCCAAGGTTATATTTTCAGTAGTGAGCCATTGCCGACTCATTGATCATGGCTCGGTACTGGTAACGCAATATTTGTTGTCATTGTCGGACAATCACACTATCAAACTAATAAATAAGAACGCATTTTTTAGCGTCAACGGTTTCTTTATTTATTATTGGATTATTTTACATACTACGATAAGTAGTACTACGGGATAAGTCAAGCGCATCAAGTTTTTTTATAAAAATATTGCCATTGTCGCTACAGCTGGTGCTCGACGATGAACAGAGAATTTTCCTTTTCAAGGATCTTGATTTTTTGAGATATGAATAACTGTTCAGCATTGCGTGGTATAATGTAAACTACTCGGAAAACACGATACTTATCATATATTTTAGGTTAAAATGTTATTAATATTCTTTATAAACATGCGCATCGTGATTAACGATTAGTATTAGGCCAGCGCCGGAAAACAAAAAATATTAAAATCGTTCAAAAATAGATTATTGGTACAGTATTGGCTGCCGGTGCTCGGACCATTCTTATCAATTCAATGTTGGCTCAAAGCCGGTCCAGTGCTTGACAAAACTAGGTTCGGTTGCCAGTGCTCCAACAGTATTGGGCCGTTTTTGCAGTCATGGCAATTCTTACACGGATTACCATCAGTATCTTGACTTATAAATACAAAACGTGAAGTTCAGAAATTTCGTTGAACGATTAATACAAGGGACTATAAAATAACTACGAATATAGACGTGGATGGAAATTTAATGAACAATTGAAATATAAGAAATTTTTTTACGACATTCAAAACCACGTGAATGTTAATTTCAATCATCGATGTGATTCTCATACTAGTTTTTTTATTTTCGCACGATTACACAACCACTTTCCGGGATAGAAGTTTTATAGATACGAAATTGTTTTTATCTTTCAAGCAAACACGCGAATATTTTTTACCAACAAATGCGATGAATCAGTAGTCGATCAAACCGCTGGTTTTTATTCTTCCGCCCATCCAAATCAACGAAATACCTTAGCCATCAAGATTCTTTAATAATCTCGCTCATTAGCTACACTTCCCTGCGCAAACAAAGCGCTCGAAGCACAAACATATCTAAAAAAAAAAAGATCGCGAGCAATGAGTGTCGGAAGAAGAGAAAGAAGCAAAAAAAAAAGAGTACGGCACGGTAGCTGAAGCCCATTACAGAAGGTGGGGGAGGAGAGTATAGCGCTCATAATTAGTCATAGTGCGATGCGCTAACAGCGGCTCTCTGCGCGAGTGCCCAGCGGCTACACCTGTCATGCGCTACTAGCGAGCACGAATCCCAGCGAGTCCCCCCTCTCTTGCTTATTTTTCTTCGCTCGCATCTAACGGGTGGTACGCGGATGCGTTTCTCTCTCTCTCTCTCTCTCTCTCTCTCTCTCTCTCTTTTTAAATTTTTTTCCTCTTCGGGAAATGACTATTTTTCCTCTCGAAGAAGTGTACAGCAGGTGTCCGGATTTTTCGGTCATACTCGAGTCGACGATAGTTGCCGCCGCCTTTTCTTTTTCTTCTACGGCGCTTGTGCAGAGGAAATCAATCATTCTTATCGAAAGGATCTGCTGTTGCTTCTGGCTAGATAGGCGTGGAAGTAACGAGCTTCCTTAATGACTGTACTTAACAATATGCGTTCTCTACTTACTCACCTTGTTTAACACTATGTCGAGCGTTGATTATTACAATTATCGCTAGTTGTTATATTCCAGATCGAATTGACATCAACCTTTCAATTATCATGTATAGTTATACTTTACTTTTTGCCGGAAAATTCCCTTAATAAAAAGTGATAGATACCATGTTGAACTATTTTATTTGTGATCGGATTAGCTGAGATGCGATCACGCGAT